TCGGTACTTTAGGAATTTAAAGAATTGCAATAATAGCATCTATAAGTATCAATACCCTAGACATGTATCAATACATGACAATATAACATATTGAAATTTGACAAAACCAGTTTCACTTTGACATAACCGATAAAGTGCTATCGGAATTATTGAACTTATCGATACATTTATAAGTATATGTACCATAGTATCGGTACTTTAGGAATTTAAAAGATATAAAAAATAAAAATGTCTTGAAAGTATCAATATCTTTCACAAAAGTATTGATACACGGGGAATGGTATCGATTAAATATAAATAACATAACCGGTTAAATATCAAAGGCATTGCTAACAGAGAATTTGAAGGGGTATTACATTCTTTCTGCGAAATAGATAGAAGACAGTCTTAGTTTTTGAAATCAAAGCGTATTAGTTGTTGCGAAATAGAAGCAAGACGTTTTAAAAGCGTAGTTGTTCATTGCTGCAATCAATTAAAAGTATGTTATCGAAATCCTAGTTTTTAGTATTGTAGTATTTGAAAAATAGGTTTAGGGTTTTTAAAGAAAAATGATTTGGGACCGATTATAGGTAGAAACTATATTCTAGTAGAAAAAAAATATTGATAATTTATATAACGTTATAGTAGAAGTTGATATTGTAGGTTGTATAAAGGTATTGATACTTGTATTAGATAATATTCCCATTCCTTTGAATGCAAGTGGTTACTATATGATTATTTATCCATACTTGTATATTGAATAAATTGTATGTGACTTGTATTTGATTTGATTTAATTCTTGAATGTTCATAAATTGATATATGAAGAAAAATGAAGTCAATGGATCTCACAATTGTTCTTCGTGAAATGACATTGAAATGGAGCCCGAGAGTATCAATAATAAAGAAAATCGAAAGCAACCACTTGGTGGATATATGTACTTCTAATAAATATCAATGTATTTGTGTAATTGTTGTTGAAATGGTAATTGGATTAAAGTATTTAAGAACTTAAAATTATTACAATTTTCAAATCTTGATAGTAGACTAAATGTCAAAGATGAAGAAAGTTGTATTTACAATATCGTTTGGTATGTAAACTGAATTTAGAATGAGTATTATTTAGCGTTAATTTATTGATTAAGAAACTGCTTAATCTTAGGTGAAACATGAGGTGTTGGAGAAATAGAAGTCGATGAGTGATGTTGAGAAGGAACGTATGTGACAGTGTCCAAAAATGATAGAGAACAATATAAAGCTTGAAGGAACGTACATGAAAAGAAGTATCATTAAACTTGTAAAATAACATTATATTTCTAGCACATGTAAAAAGTGTCAACAAGGTGTGGCATCAAAAGAGTGAACGACATAATTAAACACTTGAAGGAGAAGAACAAAGTACATGTACTGGAAGAAATGGGGTTTGGATCTTTGATAGGAGTGGGATCGACCAATTCAGGGAATTGTGTCATCGTTGATGGAGGAATTTGATGTACAAAATTGTAGAGTTCAATATGGTGAATATTCATTTCTTCTAGGGTTCCCATGTGTTGTAGACGTACTGGTCTACACAAAGGCAATAGTGTTGAAGAAGTAATTAAGATAAAGAATTGGAAAGAACTTGCCAACAAATATGATTTAAAGTCCAAGGGGACAAATGCTGGACTTGAGGAGGAAATTAAAAGTGGTCCTTATGACGGGGATAACCTGAAGGCCTGAGTCTATTTTACCTAGTTGGAATCTTTCTTTATCCAACGGGTGATACATCCCCGAGCAAGGACAATATGAAGTTGATTTATGATGAAATGTTGAAATTTTAATTTAATTGGGCTGAATATATCATGAGAAATTGATTGATTCAATCATTGGCTTTCAGAAGGGCCGAAGCCACACATACCTAAAAGGGTGCATAGCAATCTTAGAGGTAAATGATTTGAATGATGTGTTGGGTTAGAAAACTTTTAATATAGTTATTATAGAAAATGATAAATTTTATTATAAATGCAGGATGTATTGTTTGATTTTTGGTCTGCTGTGCAAGTGTGTTGGCATTCCAAATAACCAAAGTGGCGTGCATCCATGCATGGGAAAGGAAGAAGTAGTTAGAGTTATGGAAAAATTGAAGTTAGAAATACTGAAAAAGAAAGGGTAATAAAAGTAATTATATAATATTAAGGATTTAAAAATTGTATTAATATTGTAATTTATTCATCATGGCTTGTAAACAAATTAGCACCCACTCGAAAGATTGAGTCGAAACATTTATCTGATAGCCCTCTATATTACCCTATCCCCATCGGTGACAACTGAAAGAGGTGATTTATTCATCATGCCTTGTAAAAGAATTTCAGCAGTCCACTCGAAAGATTGAGTCGTTTCGTTAGCGATGATCGCAGTAGCAAATACTATTGTGTTGTAGTGATGATTGACACTGACAATAGGCATAATTGGTTGACCATACAAATTATTTTTTACGTTTGTGTCGAACGCAATTACATCACCAAAGCATGTGTAATCTGATCTCGATGTTGAATCAGCCCTAATAAGATTATGCAATACCCCTGATTCATCTACTAAGTATGTCTTAAAAACCCCGGGATCATCTTGTCTTATAATCAAGTAACCAATTAGTGCATTGATATCCCATTGATGATTCCTTTGCTTAGCTTTTGAAGTGCATTGTAGAGATCTTTATGTTTAAATCCAATATTCTGATAATCCCATGCCTGATGCGTGAAATAATTCAATATTTGTGATGTCCTAACACCAACATCTTTCAATGATATTGCCTCATCCGCATGAGCCTCACTCACAACTCTATTTGAATGCATAAATGGTGTCAAAACAATTGTGCACAATGCATGATTATGTTCCTAAAAAAACTTACATAGAATTCATTGATTGTTTGTATTTGTTGTTGTCACCAAGATTTTTGCCTTGCATCCGGTTCTTGTGACTGGCCTATGAGCACATTGACGATCAACAATATTGAATTTGGATGACCAAAACCCTTCTTTTGAACAACAAAATTCTTGTGTCTTCACATTCCCTTCCCTATCCAGGCATGTTGTTCCATGGAGTGCATTAAAACCATGTTTTAGTGTGTATTCCTTGTAAAAATCCCAAGCTTCCTCACGTGAAGAAAAGAGCTGACCAACCAATCTTCCAGATTTATCAACAGTAAGTACTTCATGGCATTCCTTGCTCGGCTGAACATCGTCTGATGCAGTATGGTCCATAAAAAATGCTTCAGTAGTCCCTAAAAAAATTTTTATAGGAAAATTCAGTGGTCCCAATTAGAGTTAATGTTAAATTTTCATGTTAGAAGTTGAAGTAGATGTTCATAAAACAAAATGCTTCAGTGGTGCTTTAATTATATTAGGTGGTGGTAGTTGAAGGGTGAGTACAACATTTATTTGTTAGGATATAGTTAGATCTATATAATTAATAAGTATAAATGCAATGAATTTAACTGGAAATATCGGTATTTTAAATATAAGGCTCTGTTTGTTTGGGGGAAAACATTTTACAGAAAATATTTTCCCTGTTTTCCTATGTTTGGTTCAAGTAAAAGAGGGAGTCAACGTAAATGATTTTACAATCAACGTAAAAATCAATCCCAAACTTTGTAAAACAACTTACCCTTTGAAAAAGGGTAAGTTATTTTTCAGACACTCGTTCACATTTCGCTTTCCTCCCTCCACACCTAATTTCAGTCGCGATTCAGTGGCTTCCTTCTCACCGAAACGAAACTTTCCATGACCATCATCCTTGTTTGTCGTTTCGTTGTCGCCATTTTCCATCAAAACCAGATTACTTTGTTCAATCACACTGTTTTTGTTCTCGCCGGTAACCAACCGACAAAACTTCATATTTTCCTTTCTCCACTTTCTCTCCAATTCCTTCCTCATTTCCCCAATCAATCTATCATAAAGTCTTCAACTTTTTTTTTTGCAGGGTTTACTTTTATAGTGCATATATTTGTTTTGTCTGTGACATCTGGAGAAGAAAAAAGGAATGAGGATGGGAAAGGGAAGTCAAGAGGAAGATGAGTTTGGTTCCAAAAAAGTAAGGCCTTCGGCAGGGATTTAAATAGCGTTCGCGGTCGTGTTTTCGGTCGCAACGCGTTTTTGGTCATTGCGGGTGTCGCGGTAGTATTTTTTTTTAAAATTTCACACAATATATCCTAAAACATAATAATTATAGTTATAATGTTAATAAGTCATTTTTAATGACTTTTAGATTGCTTTCTAAACGAAAAGTGGCATATAAATTAATAATATATTTCAACACTATAAGCAAGAAAAACAACACCTATCTTAGAAATGGGGTAGTAATAGTTTCACCAATTAGGATTAAATTAAATAAAAACTAAAGTTTACATTTTAAAATAAGGATTAAATTATAAAATTTTAAAGGTCGAATGATAAAAAATTAACATATTCCTTAAAAATATATCCTAGAAATTATTTTGCTTTCTTTTCTCTGTTTTGCATTTTCTATTTGATCTACATCTACTATTTCTATTTTTTTCTTATATTTATAGCTTATCGTCTTACTGTTTTTTTCTTCTTTTTTGTGTTCTGATTTTTTTCTAATTCTTCTGAGCTTAGATCTAGGGATTTCTTACCTTGTCAAATGAAAGCCAAATCTTTGTTCTTGGTCTGCTCAACTTCTTCTAGGCTTGTTCCCTTCCCGGTTTGGTCTTTGCCTTGGTGAATGGTAGGTCTTGCTTGCTCAAGTGCTCTTTGTTTTTTTTTTTTTTTTTGAGTTTACAAAACTTTTTGTTTGGAACTTTGGATTTCTTTCTTTTGTACTAATTTCGCAGAATTTTTTGTTTTATTTTTCTTTATTTTCAATTAGCTTTTTCACGTTAAATTGCGGCCGCAACAGACCGTTATTGTCGTGATTCCGCTACCCACCGCAATTTTCTTAAATATCGGTTTCGGACGGCGGTGCTACCGCGAAATAGCGGACGCTATTGCGGTTGCTTTCTGCTATTTGAATCCCTGACCTTCGGTTTACAATGTGTCTGTCAACGCCAATAACAACACCGACATCAACAATGGTATACTTGTTAGATTGGATCCCACTCTTGTACCCCATATTCCCTTTTTCCCTTTCTTCTTCTTTACCATATTTCCATACGATTGTTCCTTAAAGGGTGTTCTTTTTTTTAATTTGGATTTATTTGGTTCATGTTTCTGGGTTTGTAGGAGCAGATGGGAAGAACACTAATAAGGCTAAAGAGATGCGATCAAAACATTCTGTCACCGAGCAGAGGAGGAGGAGTAAGATAAATGAGAGGTACGTGTCCATCTTATATGGAAATTGTTTGGGGGGCGGGGGTTGGTTGGTTAGCCTTACCCTTTAATTAATTCTATATGTTTACCGAGCTAAAGTTATGGTAATTGCATAAACCATTGATTGTAATGGCCTAGAATAGGTTGAGCCTAAGAAAGTTTCGAACTTTATTACTTCGGGTTTACTTCTGTTATGGAAATATTGCTGTCATTCCAGCTAACTCACTGTGTCATGAATTTATGATGATTCTACTGGGCTTTTCTGGAAGAGTTCTCTTTTTGTATAAAGCTTGTCTATTTTGTTAGAAATGGGAGGTGCAGATGTACAGGTTTAAAACATTGGTTAAGTTCATTTTATGAGAGTTCTCTTTTTGTATAAAGCTAGTTTATTGTGGTAGAAATGGGAGTTGCAGATGTACAGGGTTAAAACATCTGTTAAGTTCAGTTTATAAAATGTTTAACTTGAAATGGCACCTGAAATTCTGGTGTTATTGGTCATTTTATGGTGACTGAAGCTCCGGTGCCTTTTCTACTTGAATGATGGTGGTTGCTTAACTTTCGGAGTAGTAATACTAATAGCTTCTGCTTCTTTTAGGTTCCAGATATTGAGAGAGCTTATACCAAACACGGATCAAAAGAGAGATAAAGCTTCATTCCTGCTAGAGGTATGTTATGAACCTGGAATAAAAAATTACTATATATGGTATTTTATCTAACTATTTTCCTTCTGAAAAACTCTGCTTGAAAATTTTGTTGTTTGGTCGATATTCTTTTTGCAGGTCATAAGAGTAAGTCCAATTTTCACAGGAGAAGGTTACAAACTATTAAAGTTCATACCAGGGATGGAGTTCAGAGCCCACGAAATTAATGCCATGGGTATGTTCTTTTAAGGAAGGCTTTCCGTTCATGTGTTCAAGTTATATGTTCTTTGTGGCTTAAGTGGTTTGTTTCCGGTTGAAGAGACAATACAGGGCCGGTTTTGGGCTTGTGCGGGCTGTCCAACCGCACAGGGCCCAATTTTTGTAAGGGCCTCCAAAATTTTTTAAGCCTTTTGTATGTATGTGTATTTAGAATATTTAGCTCAAGAATTTTCAAGTCCAAAGCTTATTTTACTGTTATGGTATAGGATCACCAAATTTTGAAATATTAGTGAATTTCTTTATATATCTAATATTTTAGTTTTAAAAAGCCTATTTTATTGTTATGGCACAGGGCCACCAAAATTTGCAAGACGGCCCTGAGACAATATATGATGATTTGTATATATCCACTTCATTAAGCTATTAGATATTCTATGAAAAGATTATACACAAATCATAGAATATCTATGAGTCCTTATGTGAAAGACGTGATATACACAAGGCATTATATTTGTTCGTATCGATTTTAAATTTTTATTAACACCGTTTCAAGTCTATGCAAAGGAGTATCTATTTATTAGTTCGTATGTGATTCTTTTGAATGAAATAGAATTGCAATATTTAGTGTTGTGTATTGCTTATTTTCAAGGTGCTAATTAGACAATATTTTATGACTTATTAGACAATATTTTAACTCTAATGTGTTGTAGTACTAATTATAGACTTCAACAATATTGTTGGTTTATGTGTTGTAGCACTAATTATGAATTAGACTTTGTATTATTATGGTTGGAAATTATTGTTGTTTTGATGTGATAAACCCTTTAATTATACATTTTGACACTATTATTATTATTGCAATGTTATGTAGTATTGTTGTTTTAATGTGGTGTACTATTAATTAAACCTATAATATTTATAAACTTTTATAATATATTTTTAATAAATTATTAATATATATCAAATAAACCTACATAATATTAATTATACGTTGAAATTCGTTTCTAAAAATACTAATGAATAAGCATCATGAAGAGTTTACCTAAAATAGTGTATTTATAACACAATCAACATAAATTATTAATATTATCTAAAAATTTAGTTTACGTATTTATAAAAATACAAATTTTATAAAATATAATTATATAAAAAATGAACCTTTAATAAAATTAAAAGTAAAGAATAAAAACTATCGAATATGTATGTTTCTTTATTAAAACATATTCTAAAAACTGTTTTAGAAAAATTAACCAAACAATGTAAAACATTTCACAATGTACCATCCAAACACTGGAAAACATTTTCTAGAAAATGTTTTTCAGAAAACTGTTTTCCAGAAATGTAATTCATTTTTCAGATTTCATTTCCCGAAAACTATTTTCAGTGAAACGCCCTAAGTTTATACATGTTTTATGTAAATATGGATATTTGTTGTGTCGATATCGATACTTTTATTCCAGTGTGTTTGTCAAACAATTTGCATGCCAAATGTATCGATACACATTATTAAAGTATTGATACTTATAATTTTGAAAAAAATGTATGCAAAGTATGAAAATGTCCATGTATCGATACTTATTATGCCGGTACGTATACTTTTATTCTTGTATGCTTGTCAAACAATTTGCAGGCCAAATGTATTGATACACATTATTATAGTATCGATATTTATAATTTTGAAACATGTATGCAAAGTATGAAAATGTCTAAGTATCGATACTTCTTATGCCGATATGGATACTTTTATTCCAGTATGATTCTCAAACAATTTTCACGCAAAATGTATCGTTACACATATATAAAGTATCGATACTTGAAATTTTGGAACCTATTACCTTAAAGTAATAGGTAAATTAACAATGTAAACAGTAAAAGTCTACGCATAATGATAATAGGCGAAAATACTAAGTATCACACTCTTTATATAGGTATGGATACTTTTATTCCAATATGTTTCTCAAACAATTTGCACACAAAATATATCGATACATGTATAAAGTATAGATACTTGGAATTTCGAAATCTATTACATTGAAATAATAGGTAAATTAACAATGTAAACGGTAAAAGTCTACCAGTATAATGACAATAGGCGTAAATACCAAGTATCGATACTTTCATGTAGGTATCGATACTTTTATTCCAGTATGCTTCTCAAACAATTTGCATGCAAAATGTATCGATACACATATATAAAGTATTGATACATGAAATTTTGAAACTTATTATTTTAAAGTAATATGTAAATTAACAATGTAAAAGGTAAAAGTCTACCGGTATGATGATAATAGGCGTAAATACCAAGTATCGATACTTTTATATAGGTATGGATACTTTTGTTCCAGTATGCTTCTCAAACAATTTTTGCACAAAATGTATCAATACTTGGAATTTCGAAACCTAATACTTTAAAGTAATAGGTAAATTAACAATGTAAACGGGAAAAGTCTACCGATATATTTATAATAGGTGTAAATACCAAGTACCGATACTTTTATATAGGTATTCGATATTTTTTTATCTAAACAACACCTATACTTTCAACACAAGTATCGATATTAAATCAATTAACCGATTAGGTTGTAAATATTTTACTAGTTACATTATTATTAACCTATAAACAAAACAGTATCAATGTTCAAGTATTAGGTTGTGTTTTATTTTTATTCGGTAGGTGCATTTTTTTGTCTTAGTTATTTAAAAAAGAATCGATCCTCAAGTAGTCTCCATACTTTTATCGATGCGTCGCTCCCCCAGAAAGAAGATATCTCTTCCACTCTGATGAATACCACCGTTCACAAAAATTGCACCATTCAAGCTTCTTTAAATATCCCCTAGACTGGAGACATTTCTTGAAACTATTACAATAAGATTTACATGTAAATTTAAACAAATTTTGTCGTAAATTAGGGTTTTAGTAATTTATAGATACAAAATTTTTGTTCTTAATGTGCTTGTGTTTCATGTAACAACCTCTGTATCCACTTCTAAAAATAGCTCCAAAACGTCCGAGACGCAGTTCTTCTCAGCCAAGGTCTTCTTCTCAACCAAGGTCTTCTTCTTAAGTAATGTCTTCTGATCAAATCAGGTTGTTTCATACAAACAACTTTAGAATCGATGAAGAGAAAGAAAAAATTTATCAGCATTTGAAAGCAAGAAAGATTTGTCCAAAACGTGTCATTGACATGGATTTCATGTTCATTAAAAAATATAAATTTGATTTTAAATAGATATTTATAGATTGGGGTTGGCTTGAATTTATTGGTGTAGAACCAAAATATTTCCCAAACCTCATTCGAGTGGTCTACAATAATGCTTCATTCCACCGTGAGCCTAATAGGAGCAACATCATCGGAATTAAAACTCATGTAATGGGGAAGGATATATATATATTTGGAATCTATTGTTGCGGGTATAAATGGTGAGAATAAAGGGGATTCCGATGAAACTGATTTAGATCCTACAATTAAAAGTGTGGATAGAAATAGCCCCATTCACCTATATATGGAGGCCAAATTATTTTACAAAATTGTCAACTGGTTTAATCGGCCTTTCGGTGGGAAATTTTCCATAATTCGAGATATCGATTATTGGTGGTTAGCAAAGTATAGCTCAAAAACCGCTCCAAATATTGCACAACTGATATTTGACACACTTGTTAATTTAGTCAAAAAGGGTGAATCCCTTACAACTTCACTACCATAAGGATGTGTCATTGCCCATCTATTGAAGAAGAATGAAATGGATTTTTCGCTTGACTACCTTGTTCGCTTATCCCTGAAGATTGACGTGTTATCCATGACTAAAGTCAGATATGAATTTATTGAAAATGTTGGTTGGACTAAAAAAGATGGCATTAGAGTATAACAAGAGAAAGAACAATTGGACCCCATTGACAATTAGGACCAACAACCAATGGAAGACGCTCTGATGGAAGAGGCTAGGGTTGAAGAGGATATTACAATGAAGTCAGTGATGGAGTACATGGTTAATTTCCAAGAGCATTTTGATTCTTGTGTGGGAACATTAATGACCAAATCAAGGATTTATAAGGCCCCATCAGCTTTAAACATGCGCTACCTATTACATTAAATAAGCGCTACTTGTTATGTTATTATGATTGATAATGTTTCCAGTAATTAACCTATTTTGTTATCGTTGGATTTATAAGGCCCCATCAGCTTTAAAAAGGTACTACCTATTACGTTAAATAAGCGCTACCTGTTATGTTTTTATGGTTGATAATGTTTCCAGTAATTAACCGATTATGTTAAAGTCAAAAAAAATTTGGCGCATTTTACATACAACAATGATATTGTCGGTTTTTATCATTATTATTACCAACACAAATAATATTTCCGGTGAAAACATGTAATGTTTACGGCAGCGCTTTTAATCGGTCACCTATTTAACCAGTCACACCATTTTTTAGTTGTATTTTAACTGTCTCACATCAGAACCTACCGTAAATAATATATAAATGGGATTACTAACTTTAATGCCCAAGAAGCTGTCAAGCTGATTTTTTTTCAGGTTATGCTGACGTGCATGGTAAAATATTAAAACAATAAGCTTAACTTTGATTTTAAACTTAAAAGTAAACCGTGTTTATCTTATATATATATATATATATATATATATATATATATATATAACTACTTTTCTTATCACCCTTAGATCTTCTCCAATTACCCTTCTCGTGGGATTTAATATTTAATTTAATTTATCAAATTTAATGGTGAAAGTGAAAGAATGATTTCCACTTTTTTAACCTTATCTAATGGGTTGAATATGGGATCAGCAATAAAAATTAATTAATCAGGTAGCTAATCAGGTTCAACAGGTTCCTAATCAGGTAGCTATTGTTGAGAAAGCTTCTATGGCTAAGACCAATACAGTTTCGTCTAAGGGTAAAGGCGCTGTGGAGACTGTCTCGATGGGAGAGTTACA